GTTTATGTGTGTGTGTAGATCCATTCTTGGGGTACTTTTGTCTTTATTTTGGCCGAGAATCATAACCACCACCACCGTTAGCCGCCACCGACCACCATTGCCCGAGGTGGTAGTGGGTGGTGCTCGACATAGTGAAACCCTAATCGGCCCAATAGCTTAATCTTGGACTTACGAGCTTGTGATTGGGTTGGAAACCCCAATTAGGGTTTAGAAAACCCTAATTTTGGAAATGTTAGTTTGGGATTTGTTGGGACCCACGTTTGGACTATTAAATTGGAATTTTGAATTATGTCCGACTACATTGTATGAATGGCCTAGTGGACTAATGGACTTAATGGATTAAGTCCTTAATGGGTTAAGTAAGAACACTTAACCATAATCATCATTTTATGTGAAAATTCCTAATTAGGTTTGGGTTCTTGTTGGGACATTTATTGGACTAAGTTGTTGTGGGCCTTCGTGGGCCAATTAGGAACATGTTTATGGACTAAGGAAATTATTGGGCTTTAGGATAAGGCCCATTGGAAAGGCTTGGGCCCAATTTGTAAAATTGGGCAATAGCTGGGCCATAACTGGGCCTTAATGATTATAATGCCAAGTGGTTGGACTAGAATAAATGGTTGGGGCTTAAGGTAAGACCATGTAGAGGTTTGGGCCCAATTTAGAAAATCGGGCCATATGTTAGGCCACGGTTGATTATTTGGCTTTTAGGCCTTCAGAGTGTGAGTTTGGGTTTGGTCTTGGACCAAGCTAGGTTAGGCGTAAAATGGTCCTTTTACCCCAAGTGTGGATTTATGGTTATGCATTGAAACCCAAATGGTTAATTGGGTGTTGTTTTGATGTTGATAGTTAGGGAATCTGTCATCCAGCTACTAGAGTTTTATTCGCGGGACTTCAACAGTGTGGGGTGAGTCTCCTCACCATACCAATGGGTCGAAGGCACCAAGGTCGACACATTTATCTAGTTGTAATGATTATTGTGGATATGTTACCAATACATTATGGATTTATGTGAAGACCATGTGGGGGTTCCCATGGCAATTAGTTAGGTGTGGTATGCTAGTTGATTGTGTGGTATTTGGTATGCTAGTTGTCTTTGTGATACTTTCATGGAAGACCGGGGGGTTCCCGAGGTAGTTGGATATAAGACCATGTGAGGGTTCGTATGACATTCCAGCTAAGACCATATGGGGGTTCCTATGGAACCCGATGTAAAACCATGGAGAGTTCCATGTCACCTTTATATGTTTGTATGTATGGCTTATATGGGTTGTATGACATTTCTGTTGATTAGTTAAGACCATGCGGGGGTTCCCACGGAAGTTAGTTAAGACCATGTGAGGGTTCACATGACAGTTAGTTAAGACCATGAGAGGGGGGGGGGTGTTCCAATGGCAGTAGGCTAAGACCATGAGGGGGTTCCTATGGCACCCGAAGTAAGACCTTGGAGGGTTTCCACGACATCCTTATATGTTTGCATGATGGCTTATGTGATTGATATGGCCTATGTGCTTGATATGGTTTATACGGTTATGAGGATTATGTGGATTATGTGGGGTATGCTATGGGGAACTCACTAAGCTCCGTGCTTACAGTTTGTTTATGGTTTCAGGTATCATTGGTTTGGAATGGAAGGGCTTAGCTTGATCGCAGCGCACACACCCGTGTTTTCTGCAATATGTGACTTTGGGATGAACTCTGATAAATGTTTTTAATTAGAAATGATTTGGAATGTTGAATTAAATGATATCTATGCTTTGACTATAAAAAAATGAAATTTTTACCCTTGATTTTTGGGTCATTACAGCTAGAGACTATACATGATTATCTAGTCTCTAAGGTCTAGATCTATGTTCTTATGTTCTATCTTGAAATTGATGGCATTTGGATTTAGATTTAAGCCTAATGGGGGGTTTAGAGTTGAGCTTAATACCTTTAGGAGGGGTATTAATGGGTAAAGTTAGAAACTTTAACCTTCCAAAGGCATTTCCAGTCGAGATATGAAGTATAGGGTTTAGATATGAAGGATAAAGGATAATGCATTAAGGAGGGGTTAACAGACTGAAGAACTCGACGAGTTCATGGAGGAAATCGACAAGTTGATTTGAGGTATCCTGATTTTATTGAAAAGAAGGAACTCGACGAGTTGGATCGCAATTTCACGATTCTGTGATTTATGGGAACTCGGCGAGTTGAGGAGTAAACTCGACGAGTTGAGTCAACTTGGAGCGTTGAATTTGACTTTGACCATAGTTGACCCTAAAGGGGTTATGAGCATGAAATGATATCTAAGGGGTTTTTTAGTTCAGGGAGTGAGTGGAGTTGATTCCGAGCAGAGACGTTTCAATTATCATCCAACGTTTGAGGTGAGTTTCCTCCTGTTTGAACGGGTCGAAAGCACCAATGTCGGCCCGTATGTATGATTGTATGTATTCCAGACTAGGGTCTAATGCCAGGCAATGCCTGAGGAATGTTTTTATGTTTTCGGATTACGGCCTGATGTCGGGGGGGGCCTGAGGAATGCTTATATGTAGATTTCTGGACTACGGTTCGATGTCAAGTGGTACTCGACGAATGTATGCATGTTTAGTTATACTTGTTGTCTATGTGATACTTGTATGTTCCTCGTAGGGAGGTGAGTGTGGTCAGGGTCCCGTATCTCATCACTAACTAAGTGTGGACAGGGTTTCATATCTCATCATTAGCAGAGTAGGGCGGGGCCCATGATAAGCGAGGCCTTAGGACTGAAACATTTAGTATTATGTATGATTCTTTATGTGCTAGTATGATTATATGATATTGTTTGTATGTGTATAGCGGGCGGGGCCTAGAGAAACAGATTTGTATATCGAGCGGGGCTCGATACCAGGCGGGGCCTGATGTCGGACACCGTCTGATGCTGGGTGGGGCCCGATGAAGCGGCGGCGGGCCCAGTATATGTGATTATATGTATGGTATGTGGTAGTATGGGGAGCTCGCTAAGCTTCGTGCTTACGAATTTCAATTTTGGTTTCAGGTAATTCCAATTGCAAAGAGAATAGCTCGGGATGACTGCATTACACACATCATGATATTTGGCATGGGATGTTTACTCTGATGTTATGATTTGGAAACTCTGATAATAATGTTTTTGAGATACTATGACTTATGTTTTGATGAGATGATTTTGATAGCTATGGTTTTATTTAATAATTAAAATGAAATTTTTGGTCTTTATTTTCTCTTTGGGATTGAAATAATAAATATACCTGATGGGAATTGAAAGATTTTCTTGACTTGTGGCATAAATATGGGCTTTCAGGTTGTAAATTGGTGCGTAGTGCATACACCTCTAGATTTATCCAATATCCATCATTGTTAGCAGTGAAAGGATAGATTCAGTGATAGATATTTTTCTAAATGGGTTTACAAGTTATCAAAAGCTTATAGCTATTTACTTGACCAGTACATGTCTTAGTATTTCTTTTTCAATTCAGACTTCGTATGCATTCTTTCATGAAATCACATTTGAGATATTTAAAAAGTAATCATGGTGAGGGAAATACTATAGGTAAGTCTTTAAATTCAAGTTTAGTTGCTTATTATTATTATTATTATTATTATTATTATTATTATTATTATTATTATTATAAATGGCGATCACCTTAAATTTGAAGCATCTAAAGTTGTAAACTTGGATCAACTTCATTTTGGAGTGGTCCATATTGATACTGATTGGGGAAGTATATAAGTAGAAAGCAATTTAACTTTTCATATAAGTATTATAAAATTTGTAATGGGTTTTTGTTTGTGTCTTGGAAAATCACCTTCCTAGAAATAAGAAACAACAAACTTTTTCAATATCTACTAAATCTGAATACAAAGCTTTAGCGGTTGTTACTTTCGAAATTGTGAAATTTTGTGGTGTTTTGATTTTGAGAAAGAAAGAAGTAAAATGGTTTTATGCTTCAATCTAGTTAAATGTGTTTTGAAAGTTGAAGTTGTTAATTTGTACAAAGTCAAATACCATTTACTGGGTTCGTGCTTAATTTTTACTGGACTCGCAAAATCCAAATTTAAAATGATACAACATATTTATGCAATATTCACATCCTTACAAATCCCTTATAATTCTTAGACTATGTTGCTCGCTAGGAGAAGGAACACCACCTCTTTACCTTTTGCGGGGGCTCGTTACACCAAACTCGCTAAACCCTTAGGAGAGGAGAGAGAAAGAAAGCTTTGCATGTGATTGGTCCTTTCTAATTTGGTTATTTTTCTTCTTCTTTTTTTATCTTTTTTTTCAAAACGAAACCTATTAAGCTCCTCACACTATCATTCTCTATATTTTGAGTAAGTTACACGAATGATCCCTATAGTTTAGGGTAAATTACACGTTTAGTTCCTAACTTATTTTTTTAACTCAAAAAGTCTCTACTATTTGTTTTTGTTACGCGATTGATCCCTATTATTTGTTTTTGTTACGCGTTTGATCCCTACTATTTGTTTTTGTTATGTGTTTAGTCTCTGTCTTACCTAAAAAAACTATTATTTAAATAAGAAAAAATATCAGGATAGATAAGGTAAAGGAGATGGGATTAGGAATGTGTTTATTTAAATAAATTAAAAAATCAAGGGAAAACTAATATTTTTATATAAAGCAGGGACCAATCGTGTAACAAAAACAAACAGTAAGAACCTTCCGAATTAAAAAAATAAGTTGGGAACTAAACACGCAAATTATCCTAAACCACAGGGACCATTCGTACAATTTACACCATTTTCAACCTATACATCATGCATATCATTCCCCACATTTTTCAACCTATACATCATACATGCTGAGCTTATATGACAATAAAAAAAAACTTAGGTGGCAACAAAAAAAACCCATATATCAATACGTTAAAAAAAACCCATATATCAATACGTTAAAAAGGGCTACCACTACAACTCCCTTCAGCCTTAGACGTACTTCTATTCAAAAGAAAAATTAATATTGCACCAAACATTGTACTTGACCCGTGATCTCATCATGTACTTTTCATTATTAACGTGTACCAGTAGTCGGCCTGTCGGGGAAAAGTTAGCATATATATTTTTCTAAACTAAATTACAAATATGGTCCCTGTATGTTTTTCTAAAACTATAAAAAAACCAGAATCTTTTTGATGAAAATTTTGTGAAGGAAAACAAATCAAAAACGCTGAAAAAAAAAGAGATAGCAAGAAATCACTCTTTAAACTACAAACATGAATACCGTGTTCAACTCAACTCAACTCAACTGGTGATTCATTCACTAACCAAACTCCATCACAGTCCACACATATATCGTGTCTTGACATAACATGAAAAGAGAATTAACAACCAAATACAAAATACAAATACAATGAGTCAAAAACCAACTAACCAGAAACCCAACAAAACAAAACCAAACCACATTTATGACTTAGAAGCACTTCCTGTGGACAATGGATGGACCAGACTCATCATATTCACCCTTTGAGATCCACATCTGTTGATACGCAGTCACACAACCAAAACCAATTATAGACAAAACATTATGAATAAAAAATATATTTGTATTTAAAAATTGAAAGGCAATGCTTCTATAATATAAAGAAATGAATGAAAGGATTTTGATATATACCTGTTGGAAGGTACTGAGAGAAGCAAGGATGGAGCCTCCGATCCAGACACTGTACTTTCTCTCAGGTGGAGCAACCACCTTAATCTTCATGCTACTGGGAGCCAAAGCAGTAATCTCCTTACTCATCCTATCAGCAATTCCAGGAAACATAGTGGACCCACCACTAAGCACAATATTCCCATAAAGATCCTTCCTGATATCCACATCACACTTCATGATCGAATTATAAGTCGTCTCGTGGATTCCGGCTGCTTCCATTCCGATCAACGACGGCTGGAAAAGCACCTCTGGGCACCGGAATCTCTCAGCTCCGATCGTGATGACCTGTCCGTCCGGCAACTCATAGTTCTTTTCCACCGATGAGCTGGACTTGGCGGTTTCAAGTTCTTGTTCGAAGTCGAGCGCCACGTAGGCGAGCTTCTCTTTCATGTCACGCACGATTTCACGTTCTGCTGTGGTGGTGAACATGTAACCTCGTTCCGTTAGGATTTTCATCAGGGAGTCTGTGAGGTCACGCCCCGCCAGATCCAAACGGAGGATGGCATGAGGGAGAGCATACCCTTCGTAGATTGGGACTGTGTGGGAGACACCATCACCAGAATCCAACACGATACCTATCAAATTTTCAAAGGAATTAGAGAAATAAATACTAGAAAATGCATTGTACTAGAAGTGTAAGATGAAGGAGAACTAACCGGTTGTACGACCACTGGCATAGAGGGAAAGGACAGCCTGGATAGCAACATACATGGCAGGAACATTGAATGTCTCAAACATGATTTGAGTCATCTTCTCTCTATTAGCCTTGGGGTTGAGAGGTGCCTCAGTGAGAAGAACAGGGTGCTCTTCAGGAGCAACACGAAGCTCGTTGTAGAAAGTGTGATGCCAAATCTTTTCCATGTCATCCCAGTTGCTCACAATTCCATGCTCAATTGGATATTTTAAGGTAAGAATACCTCTTTTGGATTGTGCCTCATCTCCAACATAAGCATCTTTCTGGCCCATACCTACCATCACACCAGTGTGACGTGGTCTACCAACAATACTAGGGAACACTGCCCTTGGAGCATCATCACCAGCAAACCCAGCCTGTAGAGTTAACAAAGAATCAAACCAATTACAAATTGATCCAATTCAAGAAAGCTTAGGATTTTTTGGCTAAATGTAAGAAATAGCAATGTACGTTTAACTTCTTTTTTTTTTTTATTATATTCTTTGAAATAACATCTCAACTATAGCACCTGAAATTGCTTTGCATTTGAATCTCATTGCTAAAACTGAGTATATTTTTTAAGGTACAATGTTGTAATAAGAAGAAATGAAAGTAGAATGTTGTAAAAAGCAAATTAATGAAAGAATGTAGATATTTCTTGCATTTAACCAGATTCACAGAGCAGAATATTATGAGCTAAATGCAAGACATAGCAAAGTACTTTCATTGATTTGAGTATTAAGGCATGGCACTTTGAAGAATCTATCTTATTATAGCATTATACTTCAAAAACTCTATCCAATTGTAACAGTGGAAACTGCTTTGCATTTGGATGATATTGCTACAATTCGGTAAATTTTTTGAAAGAGAATGTTTTAATGCAAAGAAACGAAATCAGTATGCTATAATAAACAAATCAATGAAAGTAAGTTGTTCTTTTTTGCATTTAACCCTGATATTTTTTTAATGGCAAGAAAACATAGATCCTGTTCGGATCAAGTCTGGTATGCACCACTACTGGTTTGAAAGACTAAAGTGATACCAGTTGGCCGAAGACAATGGGATCCTGATAATACAACTAACCATATAAATAAAGATCGCTTGTCAATAACAAAGTACACTAACCTTCACCATTCCAGTTCCATTGTCACAAACAAGGGGCTGAATATCCTCAGTGTCGGCCATTTTCTATAAGACTGTACCAAAAACATGAAAAATACGTTAGTTGAGGACATCAAAGTCTTTCTCCCAATAGTATTCATGGAATTTTGTTCTCATCCCAAAGAAACATCCACAATGTTAACATATACGGTGAAATGAAATGTATGTAATTTAGACGGATCATCACCTAGCTAAAGATCAAATAACTAAACGTGATAAATCCAACCCAAATCAGTATGAATGCATGAACAGATCTGAGTTCTTCCGATTTGGAATAACACTCGCACCACATCAAACATACATTTTACAGCACAGATCCACAGAACTCAAAACAGATCAAACAACAGAACAGAAATCTGAGGGTAAAATAAAGGAAATCCAACAATACAACATGTTCATCACACAAGAGCAACTGATAGACCTATAAATACGCCTTTTGTTCTAATGATGGCGAACGGATTCAGATCGGAAACTTAAAAGCAACAAAATTACAAGAAAAACAAATAGATTCAAGCAGAAACAACTAAATCTTTGAATATTCCATGTATCTTTATGAGTGTGAACTGATTCAGATCGAGAACTCGAAGCAACAAAATCACTATAAAAACGAAGAAATTCAAGCTAAAACAGAATTTATGATAGCGACAGCTAACCTTTGACTTGATATCTTGCTACTAACTAGAAACGGATCGGAGCAGAAGATGGAGCAAAGTTTTCCGATGGCCGGCCGCTTAACCCTAAGCTTACGTTTCGCTGTGTGTTTTCTCGCTTTTGATTTTTTGTGTTGAAAAGGAAAGAATTTAGGGAGTTTTCTATAACAAATGAGATGATTCCGACCACGAGGAATGTTAGGGTGACGTGGCGGTGACAGGCATTCTGAATGCAAGCTGTACGATCTTCGATTTTCGGTGTTGATTCCAACTTGAAATCTTGGCCGTTCGATTTTTGATCTGCTCACAAAAGATGTTATGAGTTGGTATATATTTATTTTTCCTTATTTTTTTAAGCAAAATAAACGGTTTGATTTTTTTTTTCGGTTGGTTCCATCTAAAATTAATTACTATTGTATAACAAGTGAGACAATAAACGGGTAACAAGTTGCGTCGTTAAGTTTTTTTGTATGGTAAAACTAATTCTTTTGAAAACTACATTCATAGATCTAGGTGATATAACATTGTTATGCATGATCAGTTGTATTCTGTTAAATAACTCCAACACATCCGGTGTGAAGAAACCAAATGTATCAAATATAAATTGTATAAATACATGCTGCTTTTTCATGCACGATTTCTCATGTTCGGTAACTTTGTCTGTAGCGGCTTTTAAAACAATATGTCTAACCGTGAAACGCTCAACCCTCAAGTCCACAAGAGGGGATACCCCTGTAAGGTCTATACATGCATGTTTTTCTCCAATTCATCCAAAAATCAAACTTCGGTCGGTCTAAGGGTTGACCTTCCTTCTGTCGGGTCAATCAAGAAATTCACAGGTGCCTCTTTCTTGGCGAAAACTCTGACACACTTAAATATATCAAACAAAACATCTCTGACCATATCGTGCCTGTATTTGAACCCCAGGAGTTCTTTATAATGAACTGCATGCTCTCCAAAGAAGTCCAAACATGTCTTGCAACACACCGGACATATCTCGTCATCTGAGAATATTGGCATCATGAGTCGATATTTGAAGATAGTATGATACTTCACATGAGATATATATATTGGTCAAGCCTATCTATAGGGATTGCTAGAATAAAATCTTAAGCATGTGGTGCACGTAAGCATTAGAAAACTGCTTTATGTTTAAGCCGTCATGTCGAGATGCACTTCCATATCTTTGACAATTTTACAAAAAATGGCACTCGTTAGTGTATTATGGAATTTAGGGGCGGTGTCTTTAGTAGTAAAACTACTAAGGTCAATATATGGAAGCTCGTTACGAAGAGAAGCCAAGACACAATCATAATCAGAATCCATATCATATATGTTGTTATCCCGTAATATGCGGTCTTGCAGTACCCAAGATTGGGTCCTTAAGGCAACAAAAAGCATATGAGGTAGCCTCTACTGTCGAGTATAAACCCAAACCACCAAACCTAATGGGCAGGGAAGCAATTTGTCACTGTATATCGCCAAAGAAAGGGTCACCACAAACCACAATGTCCTCAATCGCCTCGCGTAATCCATTGTCAAAGAATAATGTCGTCTCTTCCATGTGAATGGGTTGGCATGTCCTCAACCCAAAAAAAAAGTTTAGCAATAACCATACAAGACCGAAGCAAAAGGAGCTCACTTTGGGGGTCAGACAATTGTGAAAGAACACACATCAATTTCACAGAGTTTTCAACTCTCTTTATGGCTAAGTTGCTAATGAAACTAACATCTATACTAACAGCTCCCCCAAGAAGTTTCACCCCTAAAGGCGGCCTCCCGATGCCAACCGGGATTAGCCCCTCACGTAGCTTCCTACCATCACACGAAGGCAAAAAGATTTCGGTTTTCTTGATATTCAGCTAGAGGCCCAATTTTGGGCCAATCACCTTAATGATGTCCAATGCTTTGGCCACCTCTTCTGAATCTCCAATAAGTGTGCCATCATCAAGGTATCGTGCATGGAGAAGAAGCTTGCAATTGTCTCTAATATTATGCAAGAGCGGGTGCAACACAAGGGCAAAGAGAAGTGGCCCCAAGGACAAAGAATTCTATCGACAAGGATATCGAATGGAACCTCAATCTGACCTCATGAAGTAATGTAGATATGTCGATAAGGTTAAAAGCATTGGAGAAATCCATAGTAAGCATGGAAAGTGACCCATCATCCTAGCGCTCACTCAACACCCTATTAGCGCTATGTAATACGGCCTTAGCGCCACTCGAAACCCCGACCCTAAACTGAAAATCATTGAGATACTTGACCATTTTTTTACCAACACCTTTCATAGCCAAATTGGAAACCAAACGTCTCCATATAATGCCTACCACAATAAGTCGTCTTCCCTTGTCAGGTTTTAGGAGCGGGGCGAGAGGAGCAGAGGCAACAAATTTTGTCAAACTCAAAAGACATCTTCCCCCTAGCCATAGATTAACCACATATGTAATAGCACATAAGAGATCTTTGGCTATAGTTGAACCTTCTCCACAAAGAACATCCAAAATGTTTTGAGCTTTCAACTCATCTCTCCCACACAAGGTACCTTTAGGGAAGGATTTAATGCCCCCAAAGACATTATCAACATCCACTACAAGGAGAGGTTCTACAAATATTTGCTTCCACATAAATTCTTATTAGAGTTTTAATCAAATATTCGATATATAATCCATATAAATTCTTGTTAAAGTTTTAATCTCTCTCTCTCTCTCTTTCTGTCTCTCTCTCTCTCTCTCTCTCTCTCTATATATATATATATATATATATATATATATATTAGGGAATAGTCCAAATATCAACCTTTTGTAACTCTATAAACTCATATATATATATATATATATATATATATATATATATATATATATATATATGCGAAAATACAAGTCATTCATGTTTTTATGTTATATTTGATAATAAATGATAAAATTGTTATTTTTACAATCTAATATATTCATTTATACAGTAAGTCATAGTTTAATATAATTATTCTTTTGTTAATATACAATTTAATACAACCATTTTTACCTTAATTCATATTTTAATATACTAATTCGTTTTTAATATAACTCAACCTGAAACTCTACCTTCATTACTACTAACCACCATCACCATCCTTTCTTCCTCCTACCACAGTCGTCGTTACTTACTAATGTCATTAGGGATGCAAACGAGTCAAGTTTGAGCCTGGCCAGACTCCTATTGTTTAAATTTTTTAGGATCGAGCTCAAGTTTGACTCATTTCGAGTCTTACGAGACGAAACTCGAGATCAGCACGTTTAGAATTATACATGCTCGGGCTTTGGTCACATATGGTATGCCCTAATTCCCTAAATTATTGTTTATTAAAATAGATTTTGAGTCGAACTTTTAATGAGTCAATTCCGAGTAGCTCACGAATAATTTGATGCGTTGCACAACTAACCGCCACCACCCTTCCTTTCTCCTACCACCATCAGATTTGGATCTCTTACACTCTTGCAAGATCCAAAAATCAAATTTAGATAGAAAATAAAACTCACAATTTAATATATTAAATCGCTTATAACTCACGATTTAATACACCAATTTAGGACTCTCACTTACATTTTAACACGATAGTTTAGACACCCATTCAAAGTATTTACGGCTTAAAATGTATAGATATTATAGATGCATTTAATACAAACACCTTGTGTACATTTTGTTTTTTGAAGTTCAATCTCTAAAATCTACAACTAGAGAATAGACCATAGAGATAAATATCATGACAATATGGGTGGGCGGTGGTTTAAGGCAGTAACAATGACTACGGGTTCAGATCTGAGATATTCTTGCGGTATTGGTCGTTTTTGCCAATTTCCCTCGCTGGAGAAGTAGGATGCCAAATCGGGTGTGACAAACGACGATAATGTTTAGTGTTCAGAAGGCGGCAAAGGCGATGATTCCAGATCTAAGACATTTCATATATGAGTGGATGTATTATGGTTTTAACGACAATGTTTGACTAGAGAAGAATAGACAACAACAGTGGAAGTTGACATGTAAGAAAGAGAGCATGACGGCGGTAGCATTGCAATGGTAGTAGTAGTAGGGCTTTGTTGGCGGCAACGACAACGGGTTTCATCAGAGGAACGAAGAAGCAAATGAAATGCCTAACTTTTTTATGTTTGGTGAGTGTTTATGAATCAGTTCTAGACCTGATGTTTATGAGTTGCATCATGTTATAAGAAAATAAAAAGTTGATAAACATACCATTCGCATTTAGAAGTTCCTAGAGTTCATAACTTTTAAGAGTTTCTATGTGAACTTTCAAATGATTAATCGTTCTCTTATAATGATTGGTAATAAAAATTTCAAATCTATGTTGTATTTGGAATCATGGGAGTGGATGAGTGTCGCATGCGTTGATGATTGAGGATTTCGAGCTTGTGTTTATTTACAGAGTTAGGATAAACCTAGTTATTTGCTATTACTCTTCAAATATGTCTAGAAACCAAAATTTCATTTTATGGTTGTGTATCTTTCAAGAAAAAAACATGGATATCAATTTTATTTGATAATGGAAAACTAATATTCTATTTTATAGAGATCGTTGTTTTTGCAATTGACATTCATGAAATTGTAGTTTGTGTTTCTAATAATAGTAAGGTTAACTTAGATATTCATTCATCTAAATAGTTTAGATAAAACATGTTTGTGACATAACCGCCTTGGCCATATAAGTAAGAATCGCATCGCCAAGCTCCAATTGGATCGGACTTGGAATCATTCAACTTTTGAGTTGGATGATGTATGTGAGTTTTGTTTATTGAAAAGATGACTAAATCACCATTCACATGGACACGTGAATGAGGTGAATAATTATTAGATATTGTACACATTAATGTGTGTGGACCTTTCGAATTCGCCACAAGGGACAACAAACACTACTACGTCATATTTACTGATTGTTTCAGTAGATATGATTATATTTATATGATTGAGCATAAGTCTAACACTTTGAATAGTTCAAAACTCGGATTTATACCGATACATACATACAAAAACAATCATATTTTTTTAATTAA